ACAACAACAACAACAAAAATAACTATGAAAAGAATAAAAAAAAAATTGTCCGACACATTTGACAACACACGCAACAAATTAATTCTATTGTCAATCATTATCGACACATCATTCATCGATCAATGATGGATTCAATGAATTAAGTTTTCCTTTTTCTTGTTGTTGTTGTTGTTGTTATATTTTTTTTGATTATCCATCCCATTCATTCATCCCTTTTCTTTTGATTTTTCATCGATTCATTCGAATATTTCGATGATGATGATGATGATGATCTAAAGATTAAATCAAATCCTTTTGTACGATTTGCTCATTCATATATATATATATCGTTCATAGGTTTATTGATTATTACATTATAGAGATTATTATTATCACCATATTGATAATCATGAGCAATAGATGATGATGATGAAATTTTTTTTTTCATCAAATTCGATATCTAATCAATCAAAATGGATCAATCAAATGATGATGATGGTCATCATTGTTAAAAATTATTTAAACATTTTCATTTCGTTTCGATTCATTGATCATCATCATTTCACAAGTGATTCTTATCTTATGGATGAAATAGTTGAGATTATGATGACGATGATGATGATGATGATGAATATCCGATATTTAATATAGCCGGAACAAATTTTTGTTGTTGTTGTTGTTGTGAAATTTTGAATCAATCAAAATTTTTTTTCTGTTTGTTTTATTTTTATTATTTTTTATGAATTTTTTTTTCTCAAAAACCCACACAATATAAGCCAATTGAATTCAATGATGATGATTCTTCTCTCTCTCTCACTCATTTTCTCTACGATAAATTGAGTTGATAATGATAATTATTATGAGGATTATGGATAATTTACGTATACCTGGATGATGATGATGATGATACATTCGTGTCAGTTTTTTTTCAAAATGAGCTTAAATTATACTTTCATTACAAAAAACAACAACAACAATAAATGAAATATATAAAAATGACCACACACACACACACACAGACACACAGACATATATAAATTGCGGAAATATTTATGTTTCAACGATAACATCGATACCATTTTTCACAAATATCGATTGTTACGATGATGATGATGATGATGATGAGTTTTTCCCTGAAATTGATTTAGAATTTTTTTTTTTTAGTTTCTTAGTAAGTAAAAATCAAATTTCAAAAAAAATTATTTGACATCCAAATTCATTTTTTTCGCCCATTTTTCTCTCTCTCTCTCTCTCTCATACCTTTACCTTGCAATTTGTCCAATTTTTCCTCGTCGTCATCATCTCAATTTTATCCAAATCCAATTGCAATTTTGTGGATTAAATTGAAATGAAACAACAACAACAACGACGACGACGACGACGACAAAAACTTTGCAATATCCGTGAACTTTTTTTTTCTTTGATCCTATCCTCATCATGTCTTGTGTCGATATGTCACGCAAATATATAAAACAAAATCTAAAATGATCTGAACTTAACATTTAATGAATCTGAAAAATATTCGTATCAAAAAATTTCAAATGTTGCACATAGCAAATAACAAACAAACAAGAGTAGAATTATGATCATCTGACTAATTAATTGCTCATTTCCGGCTAATTATCGTCTGATGATTCCATAAACGATTGTTTTTGATTGATTTGACACGATTTTCGTTAACACAGGGTATTCTATCATCATCATCATCATCAGTATTGGACATCATTATCATTATCATCAACTATTATCGCAGTCTATTATTCAGGTTCGATTGTGGTATAGGTCATTGGCAAAAAAATTTTCCAATCACAAATCATGCACCTAGATCCAAGAACATGAATAGTTGTTGTTGATAATGAGGATGTGAATGAAAATAAATATCCATTTTATAGATATTTCAACTTCATTTTTGTCCAATGACAAAAAAAATGAAAAGTAAAACAGAAAAAATTTGAAAATTTCCCGAATCTTATAGTATAGGATGATTATGATTATTATAATGATGAGATTTTTTTTTTTTTTTTTGCTTGATGGTGACTTCGGTAATCACAATGACGGCGACAACAACAACAACAACAACGACACTCGTAGAAATTTTAAGAGGGAGAAAAAAAAGAAAATCTCATACACAAGATTAATATAATGGATCTTGATCATCCGCTATAACAATGGCTTGATTTTATCTTGATTTTGTGTGTCACCCGACAAATTATAATGATAATAATGATGATGATGATGATGATGATGATAATGAGGAACATTGGTTTTGGACCCACATTTTTTTTTTTTTTTTTTTTTTTTTTTTGGTCAAGCATATATTCAATGTATAGTTGTTGTTGTTGTTGTCAATGTTTTTTTTTTTCTTGAATTCAGTACGTAAGATAATGTAGAAAAGAGAGATGGTTATTAGTTTTAGAAAGTTATGAATGTGATTCAATATGATGCTAGCTAGCTCTTTAGTGAAAATGAGAGAGAGAGAGAGACTATATCATATTGATGAACTAGACTATAGATAATTGGACAATGTAAAATGTAAAAAAAAGATTCTCCTTACGGGTAAAATGCGAAAGGTTTCTCACACACTTTTACTTTCATTTCACTATCCATCTCTTTATTTTCCCGAAATAATATGTGTGTTCCAAAAAAGCCAGATTGGAACGTTTTCCCATTTTAAATTCATTCATACATAAAACGAGAATACAAAAAGATTGTCCAGTCGTCGTTTGTTAGTGTCTATGTTTGTCTCTCACACTTGATCAATCCATTTTCTATTTTTTTTTCTTGGATCAATATATTTTATTTTTCATTTTCACTTTCATCATTTTTTTTTTTGATTACCATTAATACAAATGATGATGATGATGGCCATATAAAAAGCGAAGAAATTACTTGGAATTTTTTTCACTCTTTCGTTACTCTTTTATTCGATCACAAAATCGATTGAATTGATCGATATCGAAACATTATTTATTGTATGCTATCATTGTTTGTGATTTTGGTGTGATAAAATTTTCAAAATTCAAAGTTAAATAAGTTAAGTTTATTCAATATAAAATTATATTATTAACAAAATCACACAATCAAACAAATTATCTTCATCAAAATTCGTTTATTCTTTTTTCTTCTTCTAATTCTGATTCCATGAATTCGATTAATCCATCATCATGGCGATGATAATGATGTGTGTGCATAAATGTTTTCCACGTGTTTCAATTGTGTTTTTTTTATTATTAGTGTTATTATCAACAGCAACATATCTGTGTTCAGCTTATTATGCTGAAGGTATTAAAGGTATTAAGGGTAAATCCTATCAATCACCATCACCATCAACATCATCATCATCATCGTCATCATCATCATATGGCGGTATAACGATTAAAAAACCTAGTTCACAAAGTAATTATGTTCAACAACGATCTTCATCACAGAATTTAATCAGTACAAGTACGATGGGTAGTAAAAAAATGTCACCAATTGAAATGATGATATTTGGTCCATCCGATGTTAAAGGTAGTAGTAGTTATGGTGGTGGTAATAGTATGTCAAGTTTTAGTTCAATAAATTCTGGTGCTGGTATTGGTGGCAGTGGATCCGGTTATAAATCTTCAATGATGACATTATCACCTTTTCAATCAAATTTAATGGATTATGGCTCTGGTTCTTCATCTTCATCCTCATCCTCGTCTCCTCCTCCTCATCCATCATCATCATCATTATATGGAACAAAAGGAAGTGCAGGAGGAATAGGTAGCAATTATCAGCAACAGCAGCAATCACAAGGTCCTGTATCAGCAGCCATACAATCAAAACATTCTGTTCAATATATTGATGTACCATATGAATCAACGCCAATCGCTCCACAAACTATTCTAGTGGAAGCAAATCGAATTCCATTGAATATTTTTTTCCAATCACGATCATCAAATTTAAATGTTGAAACAGAACACACTCCATCACCGGGTAGTACACAGGAAACATCGTCCGAAGACGAACCACATTACTTGATTCATCGTGTGGTTAAACCAGTTTATCAATTAATAAATGAAATCATTAAACCATATCGCAAAATAACCCAGGAGATCAAACCTGTTGAGGAAGATATCCAGACAATAATTGCACGACAAATTCCTTCTGATAATAAATATGTTCCAATGAATGGTCAATATAAAGGCGGAAGTCCCACCACTTCTCCCATAACAATTCGACCAGGATCACCAATCCAACAGCAGACCGAAATCTATCAAGATACAGGTTCATCATTCTCTGGTAGCGGTGGATATCAATCAAGTCAATTGAAACCGAATACCATATCTTATGTTCGGCCACGAGAACCAAATAGTAATGATGCTGAGTTGTTTTTGAATGCAATTCGCAATGAAGTAGGTCGAATCAAAAGTCAAAGTCAAAGTCAATCGAATGATTATAAAACACAATCAACTGGTACAACAAATGCTTATATGGTGCCACCAATTTCATTAAATTCAATTTTTGATACACCAATTGAAGAAATGCCCAAGAAACAATCATCGAATTCGGAATATTCTCCTGAAGCTATACGTTCGGCTACCTATACATTGAATCCATATCATCTTTCGGCAACAAGACAAGCAGCAACAACAAACGATGATTCTGATCTTGATAATGAACATGATGATGAACATCAAATAAATCCTGAAAATGAACCAAAAATTCGTTCATATCGTTATCAACCAACAACAAATGGTCATAGTGAACAACAACAACAACAACAACAGCAACAACAACAACAAACAACGACAACAACTGCAAGTAATACAGGTAGAAAATTATCCGATACATCTGCATATGTAACTACATTATTACCAATGACATCATCATTATCAACATCATCGGAAAATTCACCACAAATAGGTATAACGCCGACTACTGCATCATCATCATCATCATCATCGGCATCGGATGTATCAACATCTGATGATGATAATGGTGATACATCATCATCATCATCACCAATATCATCCGATATGAATAGTGATAATTTGATGATGACCTCTCATTCATCACCATCATCATCGACAATGGAAAATAATAATATCGATGAAAATAATAATAATGATAATAATGGTGATTCAATGAAAGAAACAATTAATAGTAGTAGTAGTGAACCATCACCAAATACAATTCAATCATTAATGATGTATGGTAATAATGGTGGTGAATCATTATTTGTTTCACAACCATCACCATCATCATCATCGTCATTAACTGATTCATTAATGGCACAATTTGAAGAAAATAGTCGATTAACGAATTTAAAACGTATGGGTTATGTATCAAGTATTGCACATACAAATCATTATGTTACCATCAACAATGATGATGATGAAAATATGGATTATGGTAGACGACGATATAAACGTGCTCATTAATTATCGAGAAATTTTTTTTTGTCATCCAATTTTTTTTGTTTTGTTTCTGTTTCTTGATCATTTTATTCATCATCATCATCATCATCATCATAATTATCCTAATCATCCAAAAATTTTGGATCAAGTTCCTGAAACACATACACAATACGATTTTTTTCTGTATTTTATATTTGACTAATTTTTCTCTTGTTATTCACACACACACATAAACAAAATCAAAAATGATTTTTGTCATTGACACACACACACACACACGCTATAATCTCAGAAATTATCATATCGTTTTTTTCCGGGGAAAACATCAAACATTACACACACACACACACACCTATTGTATGGTCATCATCATAATGTGATGAAATCAACTGGATGATTGAAATTTAAACAAACAAATACACACACACACACAAAAAACAAGAACAAAGGTCATGATCATACATTTTTCCAACTTAAATTATTCCAATCAAAACAAAGAAAGAAAAAATCAATGTTTTTTTATTCTCTTGACATTCACCTGAACAAATGAAATAATTACCATAATGCTTTTAGCAATTAGTCAATTTAGAACAAACACACCAACACACACACACACACACCATGATATTTACATCACATCAAGAGACATGTTTTTTTTCATATGCAAATAATGCACCTACATTTTTTTTCACATTCCATAATTCTGTGTGTGTTGTTTGTTTGTTTGTTTGTCATCATACATTATTATACAAGAGCGCAAACAAAAAAAAAAAAATCTTTGAACCGAATCGAATATTTTATATATATATCAACGAACTGAATATTTTGCCGAAAAACAAAACAAAAAAAAACATGGCACAATATTCATGGATAAAATGATTTTTTTTTCGTAATAAATAAAAAAAAATTCGAAAAACTGTTTTGGAGGAAAAATTTCGTTTTCTTTTTACATCACAAACAACAAACTTGAAACCTAAATATGAATTCAAGTGTCTCAATCAAATCGATTTCATCATCATCATTTTTTCTTTCTTTTCGGCTATTGCAGCAATCAATTCAAACAGACAATATATACAGAAAACCATTCAGTTTTTTTCCCTTTAAATCATAATTTACTTTTTTTTCTGTATTCATCGTAACCTAACACACACACAATAACAGTCCATATCAAAAAAAAAAAAAAAAAAAATTTACTGGACGCCTGAGACATTAAGATATTCAATGGATTGGTCGAATTGATTGGTTTTTTTTCTGTTGATCTGAATGAATAAATGATTTTCCTCATAAAAAATCCAAAAGAAATCATTCGACTATCCATTGACCAAATGATCACATTCACAATGATTATATGATAATGGTTGGTTTTTTTTTTCACTCGATTTGAATTCATTATTATTATTGTGTGATTTTTATTCATTCACATTCATTAAAGAAGAAAAAATTCATTTCAAGTTCAAGTAGCGGTTTTATCCTGTGTGTGTTTATATCAGTTATTGTCAATATTAAATTTAAATTTGATGAATTTGTTTTGATTGGATTTTTCGACGATAATTTTCTCAATATTATTTGTCAACAATGAAATTTTTTTTTTTGCAAGCCAGTGTGTTTGTGTGATGATGATGATAATGAAAAAAATATCATTTCATCATATTGCCATCGTGGTGATCATTTACCATATGTTAACCATATCATTATTGTGATATGATTATTTTCATCGACAACAATACGGATGTTTATTCCCAGATAATTTCAATCATTTCCAATTGAATATGTTGATGCGACATTTATGCTGACCTATCATCATCATCATCATCATCCAAATAGGCCAAATTATTCGGATGCATTGATGAAATTCACCGGAACAACGGCAACCACTATAACAAAATCTAAACCGATAATAACTTATTCACCATCGATGATGATTGGACAGCATAAACAATCATCATCATCGTCGTCGTCGTCGTCGTCGTCGCCGATGATCAAAAATTATTCAACATCCAACAATGATGATGAAAAAACAATCATTTGCATCATTAAAGCCAATGGCAAAATCATCATGCAAAGCGTTTTCTTTCCAAGATGGTGATCGTGAAGCTGACGAAATCGTAAACCATCTGTTGATGCCCGACGGCACCCTTTGTTTCATAAATCGACCGCGCCTTTGCTGCGGTAGATAGTGGACATATGGGTCGTGAGTGTTCAAAGACACCGAGATTACCGTCTGCCAGCCAAGACTTATGCATCTGATTAAGTTTCGGACATAATCAACCACAAATGTGTTAACGCCAACCATGTCCAACATCTGTCGAATGCTAAGAATGAAGCTTCCAGAAAGCTCAATCCAATCGACGCCAACATATACTCAGCTTGCAGAGTCTTCATAAAACATTACAGGCCACACTAAATTAATGGACAGAAAAATACGAGTTATGTGTTTGAGCGGTGGAGCTGGGACCCTCGTTCCATCTCTCATCCAAAAGTGGCACAGGAATGGAACCCCGTTGCAGTCCAAGAGCTCAACCCATTTTCGCATGGACAATCTAAGCAACGCTAAACCAGCTGCCACCGGTCATCCAACAGGTACATATGGCAGATGCCAACGTGGGGTGGGCAACGCGAGACCCAGGGTTTAGGCTGGAACGATAAAATTTGAATAAAGTGCAGTTTCCATTGTATTCCCATTGACGCGTGCAAAAGCAGCCACCACAACAAGCAGTATTGATTTCCATGACGAGAACCACCGTCCGGTTGACATGTTAATTGGACTTCACAACACGAACAAGATTCAGCTTCCAGATGAACGACGAAAAGTGATACATGACGCGCGGCTGTTAAACGGACGACAATGGGCTTGGTGAGTTCTTTTGGGTGACTAATCGGAACAGATGCCAGGTTGGGAGCTATGATCAATCGTTATCGGTGGAACCGGCATTGGATAATGGATATCGAGGACGAAGACCGCAGCCATGGAAAATTCACGGAGGGCTATTGTACCGGTGGAGAAGTGTCAAGTATGACCAACAAGAAAAAAGATATTCAGTGAAATTGCCGTTCATCTCAAATGTGAAAGTTCACTTTAATTTCGATTAAGCCAAGAAACAGTTGTGGAGCATGGTAAAACGCCGACAAACGAAAAGACGAACCGGATGTAAAGAATTGGTGAACGATTTGGTCCAAAATAAAATCGTTGAGCAAGTGGCAATCAACCCCGATGACGGATTACCATATGCCATATCTTTGTGGTCACACGTAACGATATAAAATACGAAAGAAAATGCGAATCGTATTTAATGCCCTGAACGGAAAACAACCACTTCAATGCAAGGCTATCGAAAAGGCGTGACAGCTTGGTATATCATCCGCTCATTGTTGTTCTTCCGCTTACAGACCATAGTTGCGATCAGTGACATAAAATCTGCTCTTCACAACATCGTAATGGCCAACCCGAACATAAAAATTTTACATTCAAGTTCTTGCGGATCGATAATCGAAACACGATTTATTTTACCAGTTCCACCGGCTGCCGGGTTTGGCCTTTCTTCAAGTCCGTTCATTTTACACGCAGTGGTGATGCATCATCTAAAGCAGTATCGATCCAAATATCCCTCAAACGGCAGAAAGACGATAATTAATGGACTGTACATGTCGATGACCTGATATTTTCTCTGCCAACAACCAACGCGAAGCTGAACAGATAAAATGTGATAGCCAGGATGATCTTTTGCCGAAGCAGCAACAATGATGTTGAGTGAAATTGGCGGTCATCGGACAAAGCCCATAATGATCGTTGGGGTGATGGACTTGCCGAAACCATAGGGTCCGAAGCGCAGAATGGACCGGAGGATGACCGCAAATGCGGGTGTTGATTCTCGAATTTGCTGATGGCGGAAACATCACAAACGCAGGAAAAGTTGCTAAAGTATCACGCATCGATTTACATCCCATTCGGATTTCCAGGGTTGGCAAATGACCTTGAAGTTTGAAATGATGACAGGCGAATTCAAGTGGAAATTGGGTTGGCGAATGGGATGATCCCTTAAGTCCAGATCTACAGAAGAAAGCTCCGGAAGGTATCCACGAAATCAAAGGATTGGATCAATTCGAAGTTTTCCTCGTTTGATATTTGACAAAGTCAGTAGAAGGAATTTAGATTTAATGGTGTTTGTCGATGCAAGTCAACATGCAATTGGTATCGCAAAGCTATCTAACAAATGGTCAGCAGCTAACGTTAATCTATGCCAAATCCAGAATTGATCAAACCACGAAAGATTGTAAGCGCTGAGCCTTTGGCGGGAATTCGGCTGGTGCCAATGCACAGCCAAACATTTGGGGAGACTCGTGGATGCTCTTCCGAATGCCATAATATTGTTCTCTTGATTCCATGGATAACGTAAAAAGCCTTGATTTAGAAGAAGACATGAACAAACATCCGTATCCTGTGGCCTTTCATTTGTTCAACATAAAAATCAAAATCAGTGAGATATTCGACACATACGAGGAGAAATCAATCCCGCCGATGCATTCACTCAGAGGAGTGATTGCTGACGAATTGAAGAAGTTACATCGATTAAATTACATCACGATATTATTGAACTACACAAGATGTGGTGGTTGGTGTTGGTTTGACGGTGAACGGTTCCTCCCGGAAAATATGATATTTCTAAGTTGATGCTGATAGCAAACGACCTTTTATAACCACAATGGAACCGAGCTTTAGCAACAACAGTCTGACGCAGATTGAAAATCCATCGATGAAACTATGAATGATAATCTGACCATATTAAATCAAAATTAATCAACGAAAGGTTCCTGGATGACCATTTCTGACAAACACATTCCAAATACTCTTTAGCGATGATCAAAGGCCTGGTACGATGTTTGATTGCCACGACTGGGAAATTTCCGGTTACGGGGTTTGACGAAAATACCCGATTGGGCCGCCGACATGCATTCACGTTAGCAATGATGGAACATAACACATGAAAACGATGAGCCGCGTTCTGTGAATCATACATTCAGCTAAT